GATTTTCAGGGGCAGTACGGCGATTGATAGGGGCACCGCCGGCAATTGCCGTCGGTGCCGTCGGTTAATTCGAGCCCTGCCGTGAACCACTCGCTTGGACAACTTTGTGTTTATGTGCTCATGTGCATTTTTCTGGGGAGGAGCCCGTAGCTTTTACCAGATTCTCAAATGGGTCCATGACTCAAAAAAGGTTAAGAACCACTGTCCTATACGATTGTTCATCAACAACCTCTCACACTCGTCACGTAGCTTCCTGCGCTAGGTTACATCGCCGCGACTCGTGTCCGTGTACGATGCTATATTTAGTTTTTGCGCACTCACACGAACAGCACGTCGCCTCGCTTCGCGTACGCCGGAATCGCACTCGATATGGTCGAGAAGCCGAACGAGTAGAGCACCGCCTCTTCAACGCCCAAGAACTTCGCCAACTTGTCTTCCAGCTGCAGATGAGCGTCTGCAGATAAAACACACGTTTAAACCACTAGCAGACGTGAAGTCGTCTACCGAACGAGTATTCGTCAAGGCGGAACAACATGGAGAGCAAAGTCACGCTGAATATTTGCAGTAGCAATTGAAGTGCGAATGTTGCATTAGCGCAAAGCAATTGCAGTCTCTATGTTGTAATACTATGATTAAATATTATTTTTAATAGAAGCAATGTGGGATGTTATTACTGGTGGCCTACAATGCTTCTGGGAGTCAGTACATACCTACTGTACCGTAGAAGCCGCGTGGGCCACAGGAGCCAACTCCATATGTTTTTAGACTTGTTATCGCTGCTTCCTGCAGAGAAAAACCTCCACATATGATCGCAGGCTCATGTTAATGCAGTTTCAGGGATACAATTACATTTCTAGGAACAACAGCTTTAGAATAATATCACAGATTTGAGAGGTCATATGGAATACTCTCATACTCTTACTGTAATGAACTTTTAAAATAAGAACAAATGAATGATAACTAATGAGGGATCTATAACTATACTTACCTCCATGGCTTTGTTTTCTATCATGTTTAAAAAGTTTAGTGTTCCCATGTTAAGGATTTTTTTCCCATTTATAGTAACAGTCTTTCCAGGTTTCCTGATAACGAGACAAAAGAAAAATCAGTAAAATACACCCGGTGCGCCAGTGAACGAGCATAACAATAATATCAGCGGTACTCATCCATGTATAGAAATGTACCTTACCACAGAGTGTGCCATTCACCGGTTATAATACGACATTTGTGGTTACCTCCGAATGAGAGACTTCACTGATAGAACCTACCCATCAACAACCCTAGGATGTAGTGTGTAATGGTCTGATGGAGTGTCCGGCACCAGTGGCTCAGGGGTCCACTCAGCTATCAACTCTTCCTTTTCCTACAGCATAACAGTTAACACTGATAGACGATTGATAACAATTGCAGCAATTGTTAGAGATGGTCCCAATAATATCACGAGACCGCAATATATTTATACCAGGATTCACAGCTAAACAAGCTAGAGTAGGATGCCATATTCACCGTGAACACGTAAATCAACATCCACGTGAACAAGCATGATATCCTGAAAGACATTCAGCTGATACATATATACCACTGAATTTAATGGTATTGTCTCACTCGCCTTTGCTCCCAACCGCGTTTTGTGCGGCTTGTAGCTCTTCGTCAAAATCAACCTGAGTATCCATAGCACAAGGAAAGCTTCTAGAAGCAGATGATATGCAGGAGCCTGTATCGGATCAAACAAAATGAAGTCACTCATGTGCTCAAAATTCGTGCTGAAAAATCACATGATAAGTATCTTATTCTTACGAGATGTAATGCAGCCTTACAGGTGAGCAGGGCCATGGCATGACCCATGGGTGTGGTAAAGGTAGCTCTAGTACTATAGCCTGCATACAGTAGCCGCTGGGTTTATAGCATCAGCCATTAGGGATGCGCGGGACCAACTTAGTCACGCGTACTCGCAGCTATAAAACGTCTGTGGCACTGGTAGGCAAATAATGCCTCTTATCCGAAGTGAATATGTCTTAAGTTATAACCGCTACTAAAATTTAACCTCTAACTATCGTTGCAATGGTATACTTGCGATATTTCTTGTGAACGAACATTCGATTTGCGAACTTCAAACGACCATTTTTGGCGGCGCTGCAGCAGCGCCAGTCAGCAGGAACTATGTATTTTCGCACGTGGAGGGGTGGGAGGGTTGGGTTGGTTGTGAACAAAAACATTGTTGTTGTCAAGTAACAAATTAAGCGATCAAAAAAGATTGTAATATTAGTTTTGTCATGAAAGATGAACAAATTACTATTATTAATTTGTTACTTGACAACAACAATGTTTTTGTCCACAACCAACACAACCCGCCCACCTCTCCATGTGCGGAAATACATAGTTCCCACTGACCAGTGTTGTAGGTCTCGCGGCCTCGTAACCGTTTTTCTTGGTCTCGGTCTCGGTCTTGGCCTCGGAGTGCAATGACTCGGATTCGGACTCGGACTCGAGAACTCGGGTCGAGGCCGGCTCGAGGCCACTACATACATAGTACACGACTGTACATATTGTAACAAGCAGTTTACAAGAATTTAAAACTAAAACTCCTAGGTTTTGTAGATACACGGCCTAATCTTGTAACGTTTTCAATGGCTCAATTAAGATTCTTGTCCCTTTGGTTTGAATCTGCTATCACTTCATCCCTTTGCGCTTTTTCTACCACTTCTTTCTCTTCTTCTACCACTTCGAAGGTACTATAGCACTCTCTCATTTGGTTCAACAGCGAGTGTTGTGATTCTCGTAAAACACAAATGGATCAGTGTCTCTGTGTTTTCGGCTGACTATACACTTTCGAATGTCTACGATGCACTGTTGCGATTTTTGCCCTTTTTCTTTTTTTTAATCAAACTGGACTCGGACTCGGGTGGTGTGGACTCGGACTCGGACTCGGACTCGGACTCAGACTCGGGGGGGGGGTGTGGACTCGGAGGAGTAAGTTGGTCCGCGCATCCCCTAATGCCAGTAACTGAGTAATGGCTGGTTCTGTAGCACAGCGGCAACTGTATGCGGGCTATAGACTATAGTACTAGAGCTATAGTAAAGGGTGCCGTCCGGCTTTATGACAGTTGTTTTACAACCGACTGCTACAGTCACCTGTTCGCTTACACAGTTGTCATCATTAATTCACATACAAATTACTACGGCACTTAACCAGTGAATTTTATGAAAGCCGCATAGCGATGCTTGACGGTTTGTTTACAAATTTTAATCGTGAATCCTTCTTGGCCACTCCTATTCCTAATTTGACACTAAAATATGCACAATTAAACCAAATACACATAGGCTGGTGGTAAACACTCGTAAGGGTATGCTAAATATCATCTAAGATACAGTCAGAAACAAATTTTAATATAATTGCATCCAAGGTATCAATATTACCGATAAAAATGCCTGAAACACTTCATAGAGGTACCAATCCCCTGCCATGTTAAACAAGTGAACAGTATTCTTTCTTATTCAGCGTGATAGTACAAAAATGGCTACAAAAGTTCCGCACGATACATATCCGTGACATCGTGATGAAAATTATTCAAATTTACATTATTAATAATGTCAAGAAGCACCGAATCTATTGCCTAGTAATATATATACATGCGTCAATAATAATAGATCTATTATCTAATATTAATAAATAATAATAGATAATAAATAATAATAATAATACATAGATCTATTCATAGATTAGCAAGGGCGGTGTCGCGCGAAATATCTGACGAGTGTGTGAAATATTGACTGAAATAAGCCCCCCCGCCCGACCCCGAGCCAATGACCAGCTTTGCTTTGTGTTACGATAGGTTGTGTAGGAACACTTGAAGGTTTGTGTAAAATACGCACAGTTTCTGGTACAGGTAGCGAAGGAGGCTAGTGTAGGGGAGAGGGGAAGGATGGAGGAAGTTTAAGAGTAGTACAGAGTGTGGAGCAAGGGAGAAGCCTAGTGAATAATGGAGAAGGGAGAAGCTGGTGGAGAAGGATGAGGGGAGAAGCTGGTGGAGAAGAGGAGGGGGGAAGAGCTTGGTAGAGCAGAGGAGAGGGGAGAAAGGAGGGGAGAAGGAGCTGGTAAGGGAGGAGGGGGAGAAGTGGAGAAGCTGGTGAGGAAGAAGGAGTGGGAGAAGCTGGGGAGAAGGAGGAGGGGAGAAGGGAAGAAGCTGGTGGAGAAATGAGGAGGGGAGAAGCGGGTTGAGAAGGAGGGGGGAGAAGCTGGTAGAGCAGAGGAGAGGGAGAAGGAGGGGGAGAAGGGGCTGGTAGAGGAGGGAGGGGGAGGAAGGGAAGAAGCTGGTCGGAGGAAGAAGGAGGGGAGAAGCTGGTGGACTGACGGAAGGAAGGGAGAAGGGAAAAGACTGGTGGAGAAGTGAAGGAGTTGAGAGAAGCTGGTGAGACGAGGAAGGGAGAAAGCTGGTGAGAATGAGAAAGGGGAGGAAGGAGAAGCTGGTGGAGAAGGATGGAGGGCGAGAAGCTGATGGCGAAGGAGGAGGGGAGAAGCTGGTGGAGAAGGATGAGGGGAGAACTGGTGGAGAAGGACGGAGGGGGAGAAGGAGGAAAGGGAAGAAGGGGGGAAGAAGGGATCTGGTGAGGAGGAAGAGGGAGAAGAGAGAAGCTGGTGGAGAAGGAGGAAGGGAGAAGAGGGAGAACTGGTGTAGAAGGAAGGAGGGGGAAAGAAGGAGGGGAGAAGGGAGCTGGTGGAGAAGGAGGAGGGGGGGAGAAGGGAGAATGTGGTGGAGAAAGAGGAGGGGAGCAACTGTGGAGAATCGAGGAAGGGGAGAAGGAGAAGCTGGTGGAGAAGGAGAAGGGAGAAGGGAGAAGGTGGTGCAGAAAGGCGAGAAGGGGAGAAGCTGAAATGAAGAACGGAAAGAGGGAAAAAGCTGTGGATAAGGAAGGAGGGGGAGGAGAAGTGGAGAAGGAGGGGAGAAGGGAGCTGGATGGAGGAGGAGGGGGAGAAGAAGGAGAAGCCTGTGGAGAAAGGAGGAAGGGGAGAAGCTGGTGAGGAAGGAGGAGGTAGAGAAGGGAGAAAGCTGGTGAAGAAGGAGGAGGGGAGAACAGCTTCTTCCCGAGCTGCTTTTCCGCCTCCTTCTCCCCTCCTCCCTTCTCACAGCTTCTCCGCTCCTTCTCCACCATTCTCGCACCAGCCTTGTCGCCCTACCCCACCACGTTCCTTCGCCCTTCCTCCTCAATCCAGCGACTTCTTTCTCCCTTCGCTCCCTTCCCTCCAGTTCTCCAACGCTTCTCCCCTCTCTGCCACCACGCTTTCTTCATTCTCGCACCTTCCTCCCTGCCACGCAGCTTCTCCCTTTCTCCCTTCTCCTTCTCCACGCACCATTCTTTTCATTCTGCCCCTTCCTCCTCCCCACGCAGCTTCTCGCCTTCTCCTTCGCCCCTCCAGCTCTCTCCTCCTTGCTCCACCAGCTTCTTCCCCGCTCTTCTCCCCATCTCCATTCTCCCTCTCACCCAGGCACTTCTCCCCTCCTCCTTCTGCCACCAGTCTCCCTTCCTCCCTTCTCTTCTCCACCAGCCTCTTCCTTCTCCGCTTCCTTCTCCACAACTTCTCCTTCTCCCCGCTCCTCCTTCTGCCACCAGCTTCTCCCCCTCCTCCTCTCGCACCAGCTTCTCCCTTCTCCCTCTCCTGCCTCCACGCAGCCTTCTCCCCCCTCCTCCTTCTTCCACCAGCTTCTCCCTTCTCCCTTCCTCCTTCGTGCCACCCAGCTATCTGCCTTCTCCGCTTCCTGAATTACTTCACCATGCTTTCTGCGTCACTCCCTCCTCTTAATACGCACCTGTCCTCTTCTCCACACAGCTCTCCGCCTGCCTCCTTCTGCCACGCAGCTGGTGTCTTAGCTGAAGTGAAATGCGCCATATTTGAGATATATGGGCCGAAGTGGCGCGTCGCGCATAGCGCATCCTATAATATCATATATTTCGCAGGTCAGAATTTCGCACAGCGAAACACGAGCTGTGATTAGGGTTAGGGTAGTGACGTGCACTGCGAAGTGCGCGCATAGCGCGGGCAATAGGCGCGGGGCGGGCGGGGCTATCTCAGATATTTCCGCAAAGTCAGAAATTCGCGCATACAGCAGTTCAGACGGTATTTCGCCGTATTGGGAATACGGTCTAGATTTAAAAGTGCCTTGCGAATATTTTGCGCCTAAAAAATACCAGAAAACCAATTTTGATGGAATTTGCTATATTCTTTATTTGTTTTGCTTTTTCTTCGATTCCGATTGACAGGTACTTGAAGAAAATCAAAATTTTTCATGGTAAGCAAAAACTAGCTTTGATTATGTGAAAAAGAAGGGATAGTGCATTGAATCATTCGGGCATTAATGGCTGGTATCAAGCGGGCAAAAATGAAGGCAGAATATAAAATTCGCATATGGTTTTTTAGCTAATTGCTGCTTGACTAAAGTGTGTTGCTCAATGGTGGCTCATTATTTGTGGCCTCTGCAGGGTCGGGGCCCATGCAGGACAGGCCATGTTTTGTACCTTAGTAAGACTCGACAACAAATTAGTTTTGTGAACACAAAAACTCAATTCTGTCAATCGCTGTCCGACAAAACTCATTTTGTGAACACAGAAGCTCATCTGGTCAATCCTAGTCCCGCAGCAAAACTAATTTTTGTGCAACACAAAACTCAATTGCTGTGCAATCCTGTACCACAAAAAACTCAATTTGTACAACACAAAAATTAATTCTGTCGAACCGGGTTCACAAAAACTCAATTTGTAAAACGGAGCAAAATCAATTCTGTCGAAACCCGGTTCCACAAAACTCGATTTTGTTGCCCAAAGTATGGCACACGCATGTAAGAAGGGCTACGCATTGGTCCGAAAGCTGGGCTGGAGAAATGTGTCATGGCGGCCATCTTTTTCCTTACTGATCCGATGGTAGCCCCTTCTTAGCATGCGTGTGGCCATATTCTGGCAACAAACATCGAGTTTTTGGAACGGTTCGAACAGAATTGAGTATTCGTGTTTACAAAGATTGAGCTTTATGTGGGACATGGATTGACAGAGTTGAGTTTTGTGTTCACAAAATTGCGTTATGTGGACAGGATGTGACAAAATTGAGTTTTGTGGTCAGGTATTGACAAGAATTGAGTTTGTGTTACAAAATTGACTTTTGTGAGACAGAATTGGAGTTGTGTGCACCAAAAGGAGTTTTGTGAGAATCAGAATTGAGTTTTGTTAAGACAAAATTGGAGCCCTGTCCTGCATGCGCCCGTAAGGGACCCTTGAAATTTTGAAATCTGCTGTGAACATGTGCTTCCGCGCCTAACGGCCGCCACACCGTGGGGTGCTGACCGTTTTTGGGGGATGTGGCCATTTTAAAATCTGGAAAATATGCTGTCTAGGCTCAGCCTCGGATCCGCCCACTGATTAGTACCTGTATACTAGTTATATATATAGATATTGTGTGCGTTTCCGGTGTGTGCGTCCGTGAGACGGTGTTGTCCGTGCGTGTGTGGTGTGTGGCGTGCGTCGCGTGCGTGACTCTGCGCAAAAGAACCCGCCGCGCTCGAGGCCTCTATACAGGGGGGGATTGCAGACCGGATTTGGCGTATTGGAAAAATATACGGTCTCCCCCCCCCCCCAAGATTCAAAGTGGCCCTCGAAATTTAACAAAAATACAAAAAATACAGAAAAAAATTTGATGGAATTTGGCTATATTTCTGTATTTGTTTTCTTTTTCTTCTGATTCATTGACAAGGAGCTTGAAGAAAATAAAAATTTTACATGGTAAAAAACTACTTTGATTTGACAAAAGAAGGGAAGTGCTTGAACTCAGTCTGCATTAAATTGTTGTATGAAAAGGCGCAGGCAAAATGAAGGCAGCAAATAAAATTCCATATGGTTTTAGCTATTGTTGCTTGACTAAATGATGTGCTCCAATGTGCTCATTTTTGTGCCCAGGCAGGCACGCTTGAAATCTTGAAATTTCTGGGGGAGGCCGCCGCGCCAGACCCGCCGCCACTGTGCTTCGCGCCTGACGGCGCTCAATGTGGGGTGTGTGCCTTTTTGAGGAATGTGCCGCCTTAAAATTTGGAAAAAAACTGTCTAGCCTCAGCTATGGATCTGCCCCTGCTATAGGCCTAGGCTATAGCCTGGCGTGGATGTAGGAAAAACTGATCTTCGGCATCGACGCTCATCCATCCGAGTCGCGGTTGCCAGGGAAATAGTACGTTAGAGCAGAAAATGAAAGTAGGCGTCACAGCTATTAGGGTGTGTGTGTAGGGGGGGGGGTAATTTTGCTCCAAGAATGAAATCTCGGGTCGCAAATTCGAGAACATTCATAAGTAAATTAGATGAATAAACATTCAAAAAATTCAGTAAGTACCAAACAGGCCGCGCTCAAACAGCGAGCAGACATGACAATCGATCTGAGATGTGAGCGTAACTCGCGTGATAATGCTCAGCAACATTTCAAGAACTCGGCACACGAACCAGGTGCCGCCGCGCAC